ACGATGTACACAAAGAGAACATTGTTCACAACTAATTTAGAAGATGGGCGCGAAGCGCCCTCTAAGGCTAGTTTCATAAAAAACGATGGTACATTTCACAAATTGGACATATATATGTAATGTCCTCTCAAAGAAATGTTATCTCTGTAAATTTATTCCTTTAAAATGTCCCAACACCAAAACTAAATATCCAAGATAGAGAAGTTATTTGAATATCCAAGATTGAGAAAAAATCTAAATATCCAAGATTAAGAAGTTATCCGAATATCCAAGGTTGAAAAAAATCTAAATATCCAAGATTAAGAAGATATCTAAATATCTATGATTGAGAAGTTATCTGAATATCCAAGATTGAGAAGAAATCTGAATATCCAAGATTGAGAAGAAATTTGAATATCCAAGATTGAGAAGATATTTGAATATCCCAGATTGAGAAGATATCTGAATATCCAAGATTGAGAAGTTATTTGAATATCCAAGATTGAGAAGATTTTTGAATATCCTAGATTGAGAAGATATTAGAATATCCAAGATTGAGAAGAAATCTGACTATCCAAGATTGAGAAGATATCTGAATATCTAAGATTGAGAAGATATTTGAATATCCAAGATTGAGAAGATATTTGAATATCCAAGATTGAGAAGAAATCTGACTATCCAAGATTGAGAAGTTATCTGATTATCCAAGATTGAGAAGTTATTTGAATATCCAAGATTGAGAAGTTATTTGAATATCCAAGATTGAGAAGATATTTGAATATCCAAGATTGAGAAATTATTTGAATATCCAAGATTGAGAAGTTATTTGAATATCCAAGATTGAGAAGTTATTTGAATATCCAAGATTGAGAAGTTATTTGAATATCCAAGATTGAGAANTTGCAGTGTTGTATCATCGGCAAAAAGAATTGTAAAAAATTTCGATGCTTTAGGAAGGTCATTGATAAGAATTAGAAATAAAATTGGTCCTAATATCGATCCTTGTGGTACACCACAAGAGATTTCTTTAAGTGAAGAGTCAACACCCCTGATTGAAGTAAATTGTTTTCTTCCCTTTAAATAATTTTTGAACCATAAGTTAGAAGTCCCACGAAATCCATAGTGTTCAAGCTTGCTCAGTAGAATGTCAACATCACAGGTATCAAAAGCTTTAGTTAAATCTATAAAAATTCCCAGAGTATATTCGGATGCAGGTTTATTTAGTGCGTTGTATATTTTATCTAAGAAATGAATTAAGGGTTGAGTAGTGTTGTGCTTTGCTCTGAAGCCATACTGATGTTCATAAAGCAGTTTAAATTTATTAATACCGATTAATATTAATACCGAGTTACTCACAAAGGATGAGAAGGTAAAACCGACCTGAAACTCTTTAAATATGACGATTACAAGGTTTAATTATATCGTTTGCCTGACATATAGTTTTGTATGGCATTTTAATAGTTGGGAGAAGCAAGTTTATAGTTGCAGAGAATCTTAAATATAAGAAAACAGGCGGTATAAATTCCGTACAGTCATCTCTGAAGTCTCATCCTTTATGGGTAAAACTGTATATCTAGGATACGAGGTTGGGTGATGATGTTAGTCGTATTATACAATCCGTAGATCCAGGAGATTGCTGTTTTATGCAATGTAGTTTTCTTCTAAATTCTTAAATATTTCAAATAATTTAGGTTTTCATGGATGATGGAAATAATTATTTTTCTTGAATTTAGAATTTTTTTTAATCTTATTTAAGAATAAACGGAATAACCACAAAATATTAATTAAAAGAAAATTGGGATTTTTCCATTATAATTTTTTTTCTTAAAATAATTGAACAATTCCTTCGGTACTTTAGTGATATTATCCTACAGTCTTATCTTACAGTTTAATCCTAAAGCATAATTCTAGGGCTTAAACCCACATCTTAATCCGTCAGTCTAGTCCCTTGGCTTAATCCTACAGTCATACAGCTTAATCCTACAGTTTAGTCCAACAGTTTAATCCCACATTTTAATCTTACAGTTTTGATCCTGCAGTTTAATCCTCAAGTTAAATCCAACAGAATAATCCTAGAACTTAATCCTACAGTTTAATTCTTTAGTCTAATTCTAGGGTTAGTCCTTCAATCATATAGTCTAATCTTTCAGTTTAATCCTACAGTTTTATCCTTCATTCTAATTCTAGGGCTAAATCGGACAATCATATAGTCTAATCTTTCAGTTTAATCTTGCAGTTCAATCCTACAATTTAATCATACAGTTTAATCCTTCAGTCTAATCCTAGGACTTAATCCTACAATCATATAGTCTAATCCTACAGTTTAATCATGCAGTTTAATCCAACAGTTCAATCTTACAGTTTAATCCTACGGTTTAATACAACAGATTATTCCTACAGTTTAATATTACAGGTTGATCCTACAGTTTAATCCAACAGTTTAATCCTACCCTTTTATCCTGCAGTTAATCCTGTAGTTTGATCCTACTGTTTAAATAACAGTTTAATTAATCTCCTACTGTTTAATCCTACACTCTAATCTCAGCTTAATCCTGCAGTTTACAATCTCAGAATGAATTTCAATAATGTAGAATTTCAAGTTATAACATGCTTATTTGACTTGTTAATGGAGGAGATCAGTAACTGTCTGAATTATAACAAAAGTCTAGAATTCTGACAAGTTTCAAGGTTAGAACAAGATCAATTTAATCAAACAAAATTCAAGTTCAACAAATTTAAATAAAATTGTGTTTTATTTAATAGATGTTTGTAACTTCATAGAAGAATGACAGAAGGCACATGGATCATACAGACTGTGCCTATAATGTCTCCGCATGATGAACAGTGAATAGGGACAAGTTTACTCTGTTTGTATACTGCAGTTTTCTTGTTTTACAACCGTATGCAGTCAAAACATAAACAAACAAAATGTGAACATAGCAGACGAAACTCTTACAGATTACAAATTTCTCAGCAGGTATCACTATACTAAATCAAAGAATTATTTAAAAAGACGATATTGAATTCGTCACTGAATTCCCATGTTTATTGGGACACCCTGTATGACAGGGAAGGTATGACAAGGGAGGTATGACAGGGAAGGTATGACAGGGAAGGTATGACAGGGAAGTTGTGACAGGGATAGTATGACGGGGAAGGTATGGCAGGGAAGGTATTACAGGGAGGGTATCACAGGGAAGGTATGGCAGGGAAGGTATGACAGGGAAGGTATTAAATGGGGGGTATGACAAGGAAGGTATGACAAGGAAGGTATGACAGGTATGAAAGAGAAGGTATGACAGGGAAGGCATGTCAGGGAAGGTATGACAGGGAAGGTATGAAAGGTAAAGTATGACAGGTATGACAGAGAAGGCATGACAGGGAGGGTATGACAGGTAAGGTATGATAGTAGATGAGTGTAGAGTGAAGAGTGCAGAGTGTGTCCTATTGAACTGTTAACAACATATTTTATCTTCTTTTTCTGTCAAACTTTCCATGCATCCAGAGATAAAATATGCATGCATAAACTGCAGTTGATCTGCCAGCACCCCCCTGTGCAATTTCTGGACCAAACTCAGTTTGAAGAAATTCTATTTTTGCACATGGCAACCAATTCCTTTTTGCAAAATTTAACGATCTGGTTTTAGAGTCACAAGTTAAATAGCTTGGGAACACAGCGTTGCATAGGGCCAAAGTTAGTCCCGCCAATTACCCGCGCTTAGACGATTTTTGCGTGGAAACTAAAATTTCGCTTTTAAAGTCGAACTACTCGACTTAGAATCTCAAGACCAAGCTAAAAAACATTCCCGTGGCGTTCCCAAGTTCTCCAATCAAAATTTTAGGCAAATCGGGCCAAGGGTTCCGGAGTTATGATCGGACAAACAAACAACCAAACAGAGATTACAACTTTAAATAAATATATACTGCAGGGTGTCCAAAAAAACATGGGAATTCAGTGACGAATTCGATATCGTCTTTGTTATGAATTAGCAATGTAATACCTACTTTCAAAAGCCATAATATTAATATGTCTGCTAGAGTTTATTTTATGAAAAGGGTAAAAGACTGTAAAGATGTGTCTATAATGTCTCCGACTCCGCAAGATGAACAGTGAAGATGGACAAGTTTACTCTGTTTGTATACAGCAATTTTCTTGTTTTACTAAGTACAACCTTATGTAGTCAAAACATAAACAAACAAAATGTGAACACAGCAGACGAAACTCTTACAGATTACAGCTTTCTCAGTAGGTATCACTATACTAAATCAAAGAATTAAAAAGACAATATCGAATTCTTCACTTCCCATGTCTATTTGGACACCCTGTATATAGAAGATAAAAGCTTTTTAAAATTTTTATTTCAAAATCAAATGCTCAAAAATTGTATGATTCTTAACGCCAAACTAACGAGAGCTAAACGTCTCTTGATCGTGGAAAAACTATTTTCCGTTTTAAACTGTTATTTGTAATCCAGTAACAACGTTACCGTACCGCTGAAAACCAAAATAAAAAAGTATATATTGGAGTTGTAACTTGTATGTGGGATACGGAAGGAATTGAACTCTTCAAACGAGTAAGAAAGAAACGGAAAATTCTATTTGATAATAGCGGCATCAAAATGTCGTCTTCCAAGACAAAATAATTCTGAAAAAAATAAATACTTGGAGAGAGTTCCATATAATCATTTAATTAAAAAACTAAGTATCTGCAACATTCCATTATCGGAAAATGAAGAATACGACACCTGATGAATTCTTTCGATGTATTCGTTATTAAGGGTTTCACTGTACAGTGGCCGGCGTTTATATCAATACAATGAAGACGACTTTTCTTTTCCTGTTTTGATTTCTGTAAAGCTTTTTCCAAAGTTTACAAGAAAACATTAATATTTACCATCTATATATGTATCCAATCTCTTTTAAAATTTTTTATTTAAAAGAAATTTATAAAAGAGACATTTATTAATGATTATTAAACATTTATCAATAAATATGTGTGCATTTAAGTACATGAAGATAATAATCACAATATTGAGTATAAAATAAATTGGCACAATAAGAGTCTGTTAATTTTAGCAAAACAACAAAAAATAAATAAATATTTTCGAATTTTATTTGCAAATATCTATCTTGTCACCACTTTACTATTTAATTTTTTTCATTTAATCAAATTTTAAAATATATTGAGTATTTATGGCACATTGGAACTAAACGGGCACAAAAAGATTTTGATACAGTGGTGACCATATATATGTATATATAAAGAACCATAAACTATAATTAGATATTACATGTTTGCCTTTGTATTTAATCACTATCATTAAACGAATTTTACTGATATATATTGCTTACAACGGTACATACTTAAATACTTATTTTTTATTTGTAAGGCAAAACATACATCTCATAACGTTTGCAAATCTGTTGATATTTAAATTAAAGACATATTTCAATATTGATATGCATGGGCTGTCATTGAAAAAGATGATTCAAAACCACTAAATATACTTTTAAGGATATTTTGAGATTTCAAACAAAAAGAAAAAATTTTACATTTAAAGGGACAGTAAGCATAATTTCATGTGAAAGCAATGTCTCTCATATCATGTATGAATCGGATAAAAATGTTTTTGATTTTTTAATTTAAACTGTTGATTTTACTTTGCAAGTTTCTTGCGAAATTGACTTGTGCATTTCCTTTTTATAAGAATCAATAGATAAATTATCTTAAATTAAATGCTCATTGAGTCAACTTTTTAAAATCAGATTATGGTTTCATGGGTACTGTTGTGAATCGGGTATTGGCATCTTTGACAGGAGGGTTACTTGAAATTACGCTTACAGTCTCTTTAAATCCGATATGAATTGAAAAGTATATATTACTGAAATAGAATTTTTAACTTTTAATTTTCTAATTCATTGGTCGGATTCCATCCTCTTCCTTTAACTAAATAATAAATATGATTAAAACAAGTTAGAGCAGGAAAAAAGGGTAAAAAAGGGGGAGGGGGGAGGAGGGGTTTCAAAATGCACATACTTTCAGCTGTACGTTAATATAATCTTTTATTGGCATATAAAACTGTTTGGCATAGAAAGAAGCAAGTTTACAGCTGCAAGGCGTTATATATGAAAATAAGAAAAAACTGAAATAAATCTGAATGAAACTATTGTGTACTTTATCATTCTTCCTCACTTCATCGTGAATTTCATAATAAACGTGCTATAAAGTAATCATCGTGCTATAAAGTTAAATTAGCTCCAACAAATTTAGATTAGTTCCAAAATAATATTTTTTCAATTAAAATGAAAATCAAATTAAAATCAACTTTATTTTCACAGTAAAGTGGACTCTTGGCTGTTTGAGAACATCTTGTAACGTTTATCAGAATACCGTTTACATTAATTATAGTCTAGCAGAAATACATTTATTATGCCCATTGAAATTAAGTAATTTAATGCTTATTTACATCAAAAACGATTTCAAATTCGTTAATGTTTATTAGGAGACCCCTTACCATATAAAAATGAAATAAGAAATAAGTAAGAACGTGTTTACTCAAGCGAAATTAAGTAATTATTGTAATATTGAAAAAAATTCTATAAACATGTGACAAAACAGACACATAGTCGATATTTCTTGTTAAAAAGTTTATACAGAACTGGATAAAACGGGTTAAATGTTAAATATATAAAAATGGCGACGTTTTTAATTATAATTAAAGGGGGGGGGGGGTTGCTGGAAGGAGAGGGCACAAACTTTTTAAAAAATCACCTCTTTGTATCTCCTGTACTTTACAGAGAGAAAGTACAAACCGATCAGGAAACCGATCAGATATCCTAAATTATTAAACCAATCAGGAAATCGATTAGATATCCTAAATTATTAAACCAATCAGGAAACCGATCAGATATCCTAAATTATTAAACCAATCAGGAAACCGATCAGATATCCTAAATTATTAAACCAATCAGGAAACCGATTAGATATCCTAAATTATTAAACCAATCAGGAAACCGAAGATATCCTAAATTATTAAACCAATCAGGAAACCGATCAGATATCCTAAATTATTAAAAAATTAACCATCAAAAAATTCTCCTCACGAGATTAGACATTCACCCTTTTAACTTTATATTTGATAAGAAAAGAAGAAGGTTTGTCGTTTTTTGATTAGAATTCGATAATTGTTTCTGTTCATTTTTGTCACAGAAATCCACGAAATAATTTTCCAGATATGTTTTTTATCTCTTAAAATACTTATTTATTTAAGGTTAAAGTAGAGAGTTGTAATAAGACATTTACTTCATTTTAACCACAGTAGCATATGTTATAATTCTATTCCACTACTTGCTACTTTTTTCATTTTGATTTTTAATCTGCCGTTTTGAGCGCGTATCCTTTCATTTGAGACATTGAGCTCTGCATCACTCCACCCTTACTCAACATCTAGGGAAACTTTATCAAACTATCTTTTTCTTTGATATTTTACTTCTTTTTCTTTGAACATGATATTTTTCTTCTTTTTTCATTGAACATGATATTTTCTTCTTTTTCTTTGAACATGATATTTTTCTTCTTTTTTCTTTGAACATGATATTATTCTTCTTTTTCATTGAACATGATATTTTTCTTCTTTTTTCAGTGAACATGATATTTTCTTCTTTTTTCATTGAACATGATATTTTCTTCTTTTTTCATTGAACATGACATTTTTCTTCTTTTTTCTTTGAACATGATATTTTTCTTCTTTTTTAATTGAACATGATATTTTTCTTTTATTTTCTTTGAAAATGATATTTTTCTTCCTTTTTTCATTGAACATGATATTTTTCTATACTACTCTTAAAATGCATATGTCTTGTGTTTCATGCTGAGAATGGACAAAATGAATATATTCTGATAATCTTTTCATTTACAAACATTGTATTAATTGTATCTTGCATTGATTTATAATGATTTCAATTTATATTTACTTTTCCCGTTCATATATTTATCCTTGAATGGATCTTGTAATCCCGAAATATATTTAGATGTCGTCTTTGTTACAGTGAGCATTTCGGAAGAAAAAGATATATTTTATAGCGAAAGCACAAGAAAGCACAGCGGTTTAGGGATAACCTAAATATATAAAAGATTCTAACAGCCATATAGAAAATATTTAGGGGCGCCAGCAGAACGCCAAAACCTTGATTTAGTCAGAGTAGCGTGTTGAAAAACTAAAACTTAACATTTAAACAACTTAGAGACTTCTCTTTAAAAAAAGTTCTTTTAAGCGGCTAAGCCTTATTTGGCATAAATAAGAGGTTTATGGAATAAATTCATTTTGGCTGACCCCCCCACCCCTTATACCCTACTGTGCCCCCTGGCGCCCTCTTTCTCGCTCTCATTTCTTCTAGCGGCTGTTTTCTCAAGGCATTAATAATTCAATGTTTAGCTGATATGAATAGTTTAAAGATGCCTCCTATTTACCTACTACAATGCCTCCTATTTACCTAATACAATGCCTCCTATTTACCTACTACGATATCTCCTATTTACCTACTACAATGCCTCCTATTTACCTACTACAATGCCTCCTGTTTACCTACTACAATGCCTGCTATTTACTTACTACGATATCTCCTATTTACCTACTACTATGCCTCCTATTTGCCTACTACAATGCCTTCTATTTACCTATTAAAATGCCTCCTATTTACTTACAACAATGTCTTTTAACAACAATGCCTTCTATTTGAATACAACAATGCCTCCTATTTACCTTTGACAATGCCTCCTATTTACCCTTGACAATGCCTCCTATTTACATACAACAACGCCTTTTATTTACCTACTACAATGCCTCCTATTTACCTAATACAATATCTCATATTTACCTATAACGATGCCTCCCTATTTATCTACAACACTACTACTATTTACCTACTACATTGCCTCCTATTTACCTACTACAATTCCTCATATTTACCTACTACGATATCTCCTATTTACTTACTACAATGCCTCCTATTTACCTACTACAATCATAGATAAATAAATAAACATAGATAGCTTATGTAAGCAAAATCACCAAGAATTGTACAATCCACGAACTCATACTTCTAGGGGTCAAAGTGTACTTTAATGATAAGCAGGGTGGTTTGGTGTTTTAATGGATTTCATAATTATTAAACCACTCAGAGGCCGTTCCCTCCATAAACTACATTGGTCGACAACTTGACGTCTCCTATATTGGTCGTCAAATGTACGGAGAAATATCTATCTATCAGATAAGAATGTAGCATGTGGCATCTAGAGGCCAACATATCGTCCCCCAAAGTACGTGAAATACACGACCACTTTCTATGGAGAAAACGGGCTCAGGAGTGAATTTTATTTTGAGAATATTATTTCATTGAGCAATATATCATTTTGACGAGAACTAAAGAAGGACATGAGGACTAAACTAACTTAAATTTCTCTCTACAGAACTCATGTACACCACAAGTACTCAATAGCATAAGAACAGCCAATGTTCACAATCGACCTAGTTAATCTATTTAGTAGGAATATCTTTAAAACATCTCTGTACATTTATATCTTTCAAGATGAAAAATGTCTTCTTATGCGCCATCTATCTTTATCTATGACTACAATGCCTCCTATTTACCTACTACAATGTCTTCTAGTAATCTATAACAATGCCTCCTATTTACTTACAACAATGTCTTTTCTTTATCAATTACAATTCCTTCTATTTACCTACAACAATGCCTCCTATTTACCTTTGACAATGCCTCCTATTTATCTAAAACATTACTACTACTATTTACCTACTACATTGCCTCCTATTTACCTACTACGATATCTCCTATTTACCTACTACAATGCCTCCTATTTACCGTCTACGATATCTCCTATTTACCTACTACAATGCCTCCTATTTACCTACTACGATAGCTCCTATTTTCCTACTACATTGCCTCCTATTTACCTACTACAATGCCTCCTATTTACCTAATACGATATCTCCTATTTACCTACTACGATATCTCCTATTTACCTACTACAATGCCTCCTATTTACCTACTACATTGCCTCCTATTTACCTACTACATTGCCTCCTATTTACCTACTACGATATCTCCTATTTACCTACTACAATGCCTCCTATTTACCTAATACGATATCTCCTATTTACCTACCACAATGCCTCCTATTTACCTACTACGATATCTCCTATTTACCTACTACAATGCCTCCTATTTACCTTCTACGATATCTCCTATTTACCTTCTACGATATCTCCTATTTACCTACTAAGATATCTTCTATTTACCTATAACGATGCCTCCAATAGTAAATCCTGGTTTCTCTGAGTCCACTGCTTCCACAACCTGCATAGGAGATATAATAAGGGTTAAATAAACCTGACTTTATACCCCCCCTCCCCCCTCTTTTGAAAATGAAACAATCGGTCAAACGAACAAAATATCAACATTTAGCAATTAAAAACATTTTAAAAATTATAATATCTCCGTCAATTTAAAGAAAGTTATATTAAACCAAAAATATTTGACAAATATAATGATAGTTTTCATCGAATCACTAGTCGATTATGACACAAATTATCGATGAGCGAAAGATTTTAAAATCGTCCTCACTATTCCTTTAGTGTTTGTGGTACTACCTGCCAAATCATAGAAGCAGCATTGAGTAGAATACCAATTATTCCCCAGATTAGAGATGGTACCATATACCCAGCAGTCTCAGTTCTATACAGTACATAGATTAGAGATGGTACCATATACCCAGCAGTCTCAGTTCTGTACAATACATAGATTAGAGATGGTACCATATACCCAGCAGTCTCAGTTCTGTACAATATACATAGATTAGAGATGGTACCATATACACAGCAGTCTCAGTTCTAGACAATACATAGATTAGAGATGGTACCATATACCCAGCAGTCTTAGTTCTATACAATATACATAGATTAGAGATGGTATCATATACCCAGCAGTCTCAGTTCTAAATAATATACATAGATTAGAGATGGTACCATATACCCAGCAGTCTCAGTTCTATACAATACATAGATTACAGTTGGTATCATATACCCAGCAGTCTCAGTTCTATAAAATATACATAGATTAGAGATGGTACCATATACCCAGCAGTCTCAGTTCTATAAAATATACATAGATTAGAGATGGTACCATATACCTAGCAGTCTTAGTTTATAAAATATACATAGATTAGAGATGGTACCATATACCCAACAGTCTTAGTTCTATACAATACATAGATTAGAGATGGTATCATATACACAGCAGTCTCAGTTCTAGACAATACATAGATTAGAGATAGTATCACATACCTAGCAGTCTCAGTTCTATACAATACATAGATTAGAGATGGTATCATATACCCAGCAGTCTCAGTTCTATACAATATATAGATTAGAGATGGTATCATATACCCAGCAGTCTCAGTTCTATACAATACATAGATTAGAGATAATACCATATACACAGCAGTCTCAGTTCTATACAATACATAGATTAGAGATGGTATCATATACCCAGCAGTCTCAGTTCTATACAATACATAGATTAGAGATAATACCATATACACAGCAGTCTCAGTTCTATACAATACATAGATTGGAGATGGTATCATATACACAGCAGTCTCAGTAGGAGTACACAAAGTACTCTTGATAACTAAATGATGTACTTTTATGGGACCAATAACGAGTAGAAGTACACAAAGTACTCCCGATAACTTAATGATGTAGTTACATATCACCAATGATGAGTAGAATTACACAAAGTACTGCTGATAACTTAATAATATACGTACATTAGACCAATGATGAGTAGAAGTACACAAATTACTCCTGATAACTAAATAATGTACGTACATATAAGATCAATTATATGTAGGAGTACACCAAGTACTCCTTATGAAAAAATGATGTTCTTTCATAAGACCAATAATAAGTAGGAGTACGCAAAGTACTCCTGATAACTAAATGATGTACTTACATTAGACCAATAATGAGTAGGAGTACACAAAGTACTCCTGAGATCCAAATGACATACTCCAGGATGAAATATCCCAGGAGTTCATCCGTTATCAGATACTGAAATATTTAATTTTAAATTTTGGACCAAACTAACTTTCTAGTTGATAAGACAACTAAATGAGTCAAAGGGTTATTAAGGAAGAATGAGACAATAAAAAATGAAAACCTAAAACTTATCACAAAAGACGATTTAAAGGATTAATTTTAACTCCCGCATTAAAATTTAGTTTTCGAAGGTATAATAATGATATGACAAAGAAAGAAACAAGTTTATAGCTACCGGAAACAAGTTTACAGCTACCGGAAACAAGTTTACAGCTACCGGAAACAAGTTTACAGCTACCGGAAACAAGTTAACAGCTACCGAAAACAAGTTTACAGCTACCGGAAACAAGTTAACAGCTACCGAAAACAAGTTTACATCTACCGGAAACAAGTTTACAGCTACCGGAAACAAGTTTACAGCTACCGAAAACAAGTTTACAACTACCAAAAACAAGTTTACAGCTACCGGAAACAAGTTTACAGCTACCGGAAACAAGTTCACAGCTACCGGAAACAAATTTACAGCTACCGGAAACAAGTTTATAGCTACTGGAAACTAATTTACAGCTACCGGAAACAAGTTTACAGCTACCGGAAACAAATTTACAGCTACCGGAAACAAGTTTACAACGACCGGAACCGGAAACAAGGAATTAAAAAAATGACTGAACAAATTTTGAGCAGTCGTCTCTGAAGCATCATTCTTTGTGTGTAACCATGTAGAAGAACGCATTGAATTTTTAAAAATTTCTTTTACTTATAATTTCTTTATGGTTCGCACCGTACTCTTTTTTTAATTGTTTTACGAACCATTTTACTTTGTCATGAACTCTGATTTTTTAATCCCTACATCTTTGCATGTTTCGGACCTTAGTTATTTCAAACTATGAAATCTGTTGGCTTAAATAATATAAGTTTGTAAGGTTTACACCATCATATTTCAAAGATATAGGGATTAGACAATATTAGTTTTTATAAAAACTCAGTTCCTTTTATGTAAAGGATTAAACCTGGTGGTATTAACCATGGATTATTTGGTTTAAAACAATTCATGGTTTGAACTATCTAAGGTTTACTGCATTGGTCAGAATTTGTTGTTAAAACTCAATTCCTTTATATTTTGAATCCGACCTGTTCATTGTTTTTAACAATAGCATAATGAATCCAGGATGTGGCAGCTAGTTTCAGAACCACAACTATCAACTAGAAACATAAAGATTGTCACAGGTGTAACAAGGAGTATGAAATAGAAGGGAGATATAACTGACACGGTTCGCCCTACCATGCGTGCTTTGCAGACGGGTACTCGATTTGCATAAAAATATTCAGAATAGGTTATTGTATACGCGGTAATTGTACATCAGACAAATATTTCTTATACAAATGGAGTACCCGTCTGCAAAGCATGTATAATCATATGGAAGGGCAAACCGCGTCAGTTATATCTCCCTTCTATTCCTTACTCCCTGAGGTGTACACAGGGGGCGGGTAGTTCGGCGGTGGGCTAGGGCTACAGGGGCTCAGCCCCCCCAACGGATAAGTAAAATCTATGGTGCCCATGGGGTTTTTTGGCCCCAACGGGTGCTGAGCCCCCCGGACAAATCTGTGTGTACAGTGTACACCCCTGATTATTGTGATTATTGTAAACAAAATCTCGTCAAGGTTTGATAAAGTGAATGTTTGTCAAAATCAGAAATAAAAAATAACATTGTTTTTTTTTGTTTAATATTCTTCAGCTTTGAACAATTTGTCTGTCTACCAGTGCTATGTGATGGGAAAAAACTAACTGTAGAAAATATGAAAGACATACAAACTTATTACAAATAGTTTATTCCTCAAACAACGATTAGTCAAGGGCCTTTAAGCAGTATTTCAAATGTTAATTTCCGGACCTTGGATGTTTATTTCCGGACCTTGGATGTTTATTTCCGGACCTTGGATGTTTATTTCCGAACCTTGGATGTTTATTTCCGAACCTTGGATGTCTATTTCCGAATCACTTTGAATGGAATTTTTATTTCCAAATGACTGAATTGGGATCCGAATAATTGAGATTGGATCTTTATTTAGGAATAATTGAGTTAGGATCCTGATTTCCGAATAATTGAGTTGGGATCTTTATTTCCGAATAATTGAGTTGGGATCTTTATTTCCGAATAATTGAGTTGGGATCTTTATTTCCGAATAATTGAGGTGGGATCTTTTTTCCGAATAACTGAGTAGGATCCTTAGTTCCGAATAATTGGGTTGGGATCTTTATTTCCGAATCATGTAGGTATGTGGAATGTTAAAAATAAAACTAATAATTTTAATTTCGATGTTTTTGTTATTGTTCTTGTCAATAGATTTTCATTAAGAGAAGTTAGGATTAAAAAATTATGAGATCAAAATCGTTAATCCGCTTAACTTCAGCTTTATCTTGGTGTGCCTCACCTCAATAATAGCAATTATCCAGACACCAACTTTTAGAGGAAAACAGCAACAGCAAGTAGACATTTTTCTATACAAACTTGAAAATTATTTCAGACCAATAAACAAAAAAACAATTATCTAATTTCTAAACTTTTTCAAATTTTATAAAATTTTATAAACGTCTATGAACGCTTGACTATTGACTATTGACTGGATTATGTGTTTCCTTACGAGTTCATTGTAGCTAGGTAACGTGGGACTGGTATTGGTTATGTTTTACGTTATCAGGAGGTTG